CAGTCCATGGGGCTGGCGCTCGGGCTCATGCTGCTGCTGCGCCCGCTGCTGCTGCGCGGATTCGGCCCGAGGGCCCAGTACTTGGCTTGGCTGCTGGTGCCCGTCTTTACCGTGGCCACCATCCTGCCCGCGCCTCCCGTGCCCTTGCCTTTGGTGGCACCGGATGCGACTCGGGCCCTGACGGTCGTGCACCGCCAGGTGTACGAGGCGGTCTGGCGACCGGTGACGGAAGCAGGAACGCAAAAGCCATCGGCTCCCCATCAGACGCCGTGGCTTGCGCTGGCCTGGTTGTCCGGCGTTGCTGCCCTGGGCGCAGCGGTGGCGTGGCAGCACCGGCGCTGGAGTCGCCAGCTGCGCTGGGACCGTGTCACCGGCACGTGGTTGCTGCCAGCCGGCAACAGCCCGAGCGTGGTGGGGCTGCTGAGGCCCCGATTGGCGCTGCCAGTCGACTTTGAGCAGCGCTTCTCGGCGCAAGAGCGTGCCGGCATCCTGGCGCATGAGGCGGTTCACGCCAGGCGCCACGACAACCTCTGGAACGCGGTGGCCACCGGGTTCTGGATCGTCAACTGGTTCAACCCGCTCGCCTGGTGGGCCTTGCGCGCCTTCCAGCGGGACCAGGAACTGGCCTGTGACGCTGCCGCGCTCGCCGCCCGGACGGCGGCTGAACGCGACGCATACCGGGATGCCCTGCTGAAAGCCTTCGAGATCAGCCCTTCGTCGGCCATGTCGCGTGGCTGGCGCTCGACCCATCCGTTGATCGAGCGCCTGCAGTGGGTGCAGTCCGGCTTCGTTGAACGCACCATGCTGAGCGCTCTGGTGGTCCTCCTTGTCGTGGCGGCGTCCAGTGCGATGGCCTATTGCGTGCACGGCGGCGGCATCTGGCAAGTCTGGCAGGACAAGCGTCCGGCCGCGAAGGCGGGCCATGCGCAAGCCCGCATGGAGACGCTCACCCAAGTCAACGGCGGCCGGTGGGCGGCTGGCGTGGTGTACATGGACGTGGGTCCCAAGCCCAGCGATCAGATCTTCAGCTGGTCCGAGACGGTCGCGGCCCGCAAGGTCTTCGAGGGCTTGGTCAGACTGGGGCGCAGCGATGATGACTCGCCCAACGCCTACGTCATGATCACCGAAGCGCTGGATCCTGCGCGCTCCCGCGGGGCTGTGCCTCAGACCCGTGATGCCGCCATTCCCGCAGACCGCTGGCAAGGCCTTGAACTTGCAACGCAAGCGGGTGACACCGTGCGCTTGCGGTTCCGCTTCCAGATGCTCACGGACCCAGCGCAAGGCATTTGAGCGATGGAGTTGGATCACGTGCACCCTGTGAAGCAACAGGCAACTGCGGCGCAGACGAAGCTCAACACAGGCCCTGAAATGCTCGCCCTTGATCCCGCAGGGCCGCTCAGTGCCCGGATGCGCTGGCGATGGGCCGCGTTTGAAAGCCGCCTGGCGATCTGGCTGTTAGGGCGTGTCATGAGGCGCCGCGGGGACCTCTCGGGTCTCTCCACCGGCGACGACGCGATACCCAAGTCAGGGCAGTCGTTGATGCACGCGATCGAGCGGCGTCTGTCAATGCCCGACGACAGCGAGCTTGCCCAGGATCACAGCCAACGTGACGCAGTCGAGATTGATGGGCCCGCGAAGCATTCGGTACCTTCGAGCGAGCTGTTGACACTCGCCGTGGCGAGACTGCATGCCCGGAACTTGGCGTTGCAGCAGCAGGTTCAACGTGATGCGCTGACAGGCTTGCGCAGCCGGTGGGCGTTGGAGCAGGTGCTGGACATCGCCTGCGGCGGACCCGGCCTTGCCGCGCAGCCGTGCGCCGTCGTCTTCGCCGACATCGACCATTTCAGCAGCTACAACAAGCACCATGGGGATGATCGTGGGGACCAGGCATTGCGCGCCGTTGCGCAAACCATCCTCGCGTCAGCCCGGTACGGTGACTACGTGTTTCGAAAGGGCGGCGAAGAGATCGTCGTGGTCTTGCCCGGTGCCAGTCGCGCTGAGGCGCTGCGGGTTGCAGAACGCATGCGGTCTGCCGTCGAATCTGCGGGACTTGCCCACGCGGCATCACCAACGGCGCCGGTCATCACGATCACGGTGGGCGTGTCAGCGTCCGATGCTGAGGGCTCCGTGAGCTTGGCAGAGTTGATGTACCGCGCAGCAGGCGCAGCCATGCGCGCGAAGCTGGCATGTCAACGCAACGCTGTGCATTCAGCAGAGCCGCTGTTCCAGCATTGATCAGCCCTAACCGGTCGAAGGAAATGAGCATGTCGTCGGATGTGGCTCCTGCTGGCGGTTCCTGTGACCTGACTGCGGTGTTGTTCCGGGAGCTTTCGAAGCTCCGTTCCGCCCTCGTTGGGGCTCTGGAGCCGGCTGACCCGTCCTGGGTACATATTCATCCCAAGCACCTGCTGCGCTTGCCGTTCTACATCGCCGATGCGCGTACAGCGGACCTTGCGTCCAACGATGGGATCAGCGTGAGCGTCTCGCTCTGGCTTGATGGCGTGCAGGTCACCAGGCACTGGACCCAGACGGCCGCCGAAGCGGCGCAGCTGCTCGATGCGTTCTTCTGCAAACAAATGCAGCCGAGCGAGCTCGTCCTTGCTGTGCCTAATGCGAACGTTCTCGAAAGCGCACTGGTAGCAGAACGCAGCCCCGCTGAGTATGTTGAACGTCGCTGGCAGGCCTTGCGTGATTCGATTCTGGGGAAGGCATCGCGACTGGCACCGCCAGAGACACTTGTTGAAGCCGCGTATCGAAACCCCACGTTACGGCAGCTCTTGCCCTTCACAAGCCATCACCGCTTGCACTTCAGCGAGTGCATCGGGTTCCCTTACACCTCGTTGCCATACATCGTTCCAACGGAGGACGAGGCAGCGCCTAACGCAGTCGGCTTCGAGGTTGTACGGGCGACAGTCCAGGGTCACGGCCGGGAGGGGGCTATGGCCGAAGACCTGCCTTTGAGAACGGGCAGCGCGCAAGAGGCCGTCGAATTGCTTGTCTCATTGCTGCCCGCTGGCATTGGGCCAGCTCGACGCGGTACAGCTCGGCAGTCATGAACGGCCTGTCCGTGGCGGCTTGCTTCGATTGTTCCGGGGAAGAAGCTTGCACCGTGGCAACTTCATTGCGTTGTGCTGAGCTGTCCTTGAGTAGAAGCCACGAAGCAATGGCGGCGATGATGAAAACCAGAAGGGCAAGCGCAATGAGTACGTTCTTTCGTTCCTGCTCTTCGGTCAATACGGCCTTACTGGCATCGACAATCGGTGAAACACCGTTCTCTTGAGCTTCCACCCTCGCAGAGCTGGCCCACCTGGTCGCTGCCGATGTAGACGTCGAGTGTGCGCATCAGGTGTCCTGGTCGATGGCGTCATCGGTACCGGGCGTTGCAGCCCCGCGGGTCCGCATCGCGTCGCGAGCCCTCATGCGCTCCATGCGCTCGACGGCCGATGCCGGCAGCTCTACCGTGATCTGGACCCCGAGTTCATCCATGAAGGCGAACAGCGTCTCCAGCTTGGCCCGACCGGCTTCAAGGTTGGTGGCGGTCTGCTTGCTCACGCCCACTGTCTGCGCGAGATCTTGCAGCAGCACGTGGCCATCCTTGCGCGCCGCACGCAGGGCCCGGCCCAGATCAGCGGGGGATTGGATGGTGACTTTCATGGCGTCTCGACTAGTTTTCTGGGAATTCTCCGTGCGACGCGAGAACGGCGGCCAATAGTCCTAGATTTGTAGGCGAATCCTCCCATGTTCATTGCGCCGAGAGCAGAAGTCCTAGAAAAATAGGCGAATTCGGCCGTTGCTTCACGTCCGAGGGAGCTCGAACCGGTGGGCCTTGCAGAAGAGGTCCAGCATCACGAGGCACAGCACGGAGAGGCTCCCCGGGCTGCGGCGGAGCACCCTGGTCCGCAGTCGGCGCCAGAGAGGCAGTGATGTCTGTCGCGATGCGGATCATCCTGATGTGGCGAATGCTCGAACAAGCGACATTGCCCGTTCATCACTGACGGCGCCAAGAACGATGGGAATGGCATACAGCGCTCGCTGCAGATGCGGGTTTTCGAGCGAGTTCGCTGTGGGCGGCGGCATGCTGGATTTCGAGACGAATTCGCCGTTCCCGCACTACTGCGCCTCGTGTGGCCTGGTCGAGGTCAACCTCGCCCTGCCCAGCTCGCAGAGGCACTGTCCAACTTGCCGTAGCGCCGCGGTGATGCCCTATGGCTCGCCGCCGCTGTCGGTTGCTCCGGCCGGCTCTGAGAGCGCGGACGACGAAGACGATGGCGTCAGCCTCGCAGCCCTCGAGCACTTCTGTCCGAGGTGCAAGTCGATGGCCTTGAGGTTCGAGTTGGACATGCTCTTTGACTAGCGGATTTGCCAGTCGCCGGCCTCCAGGGCCAACAGCAGCTGATGGACGCCACCGTACTCGCTGGCCATTCGAAGCTGCCGCCGCAACTCCGCGGCCAGCCGCGACTCCGGATGGATGCCGAGGTCCCGCCAGTACTGCGTCCGTTCAACGTCCGCCTTGAGGCGTTCGAAATCCATCCGACGCAGTTCGCTGGTCCAGCAACTGAAGTCTTCCGGCGGGTTGTCAGGGGTCATGGAACTCTCTTCGTAGCGGCTCAACATCACGCGTGCCGCAGCCCATTGCGTCGCACGGTCTGCGGCCAGCGCGTCGCGGTGCGCATGGGGCGCAGCAGCGCTAAAAGCCTTCATCCCATTGTGATTCCTGGGCTGGCTCATGCCATGAGCCATCGAGCTGTGAGGATTGATACCCGTCCCCGTCATCTGCGGGTGAACTTGGCGCTGAGCCGGGCTCGCTCGCCTGTCCCATGCACGACCCTGCTTTGCTGACGCCCCCCGAGCGCGCTCTTTTTGAGCGCCGCGAGACCCTGCGCTACGGCTGCCACGGCACGCCGTGGCGCGACCACGTGATCGACGTCGACTGGGAGCCGCTGGTCGACCTGGCCTCAGCGGCGGACAGGGGCGACCGGATCTACGAGTTCATGACGCTCTCGCGACCTGGTGATCTGCTGCGCTACGCCCGCGTTCACCTGGTGGACGTGGGTGAGCGGACCTTGGCGCGCGTTCAAGCGCGCCGTCGGGCACGTCGGGACTACGACCCTGTGCAAAACGGCGACTGCATGCCGTTCCTGGATTTCGAGTGGTCGTACTGGGGAATGGGCGCTGCCTGGCAGTACTGGGGATCAGACCCGGACACGCAGAGTTGGAATGTGCTGCGCAAACAGCCCATTTGGCGGGAGCTTCTGAGAACAAGGCATCTTGTCGTCCAGCAATTGCAAGAGCGCGTGCGAGGACGACAGGATGACTTCCTGCTCCAGCATGAGCTGGGCTTGATGGACCGCGGGGAGCACCGCCGAGACTTCTGGTCCAAACGCGAGCAGATCCCCAAGCCCTGCGCTCGAGCCGAGCCGTCCGGCAGGCCCGTCCCGCCGGGACTGATGGAGGTGCTGTGTGCGTTGGCCCGTCATCCGGGTATCCGGTCGATGTCGCTGCCCTTCACGGATTGGGCGTTGTGGCGCTTGCTTGTGGAAGTGCAGGTCCGTCGATGCCTGACCGAAGGTTGCCCGCCGAATGATGCGCTTCATCTGGGTGGTGCTGAGGCAGACGCCTGGGCCGAAGAGGCTGCCGACTGGGGCGGGCACATCAAGGGACCGCACAGCCCGGATCTGTTTGATGTGTTTGTGCTCCCGCAGTGGCACGGCTGGTTCTCAGATCGCGCTGTGCCAGCGCAATCCGCACGTGCAGGGACCAGCGTGCATGGACCGGGCAAAGCCGGTCAGGTGTTGATCGTCGACCGTGACCTGGGCGAGTTCGCCACCGAGGACCGGATCGCCTGTGAGGGGTGGTTCGTCTATCGCGCCAAAGACTTCCGCTGGTGACTCCCCCGGCCTGGAGCAGCCCATGACAGACCTCAATTCAGTGGATGACCTGACCGCGTTCTTGGACCTGGCGCGGCGCTGGCAATTGACGGCCGACGAGCAAGCGCAGTTGTTGGCGGTGGAGGCGGTGGCGCTTGCGCACGGGTCGCGCGAGCCTGCGTCGGCCGTGCTCGCTGAAGAGACGCGGACGCGCCTGGGCTGCTTGCTGCGCATCGATGCCCTGCTGCACGTGCTGTTGCCGATGCCGGAGCGTGCCGATGCCTGGGTGCGCCAGCCCAATGCAGCGCCGATGTTTGCGGGGGCGACGGCGCTGAGTTACCTGCTGCAAGGGCCGCTGAGTGCCTTGCAGGCGGTGGCCGATTACTTGGCCGGCGTGTGCGGCGGCGACTTTTCGTGACGGGGAGGCGACTGGGCCGGCGGGTGGTGTCGATGGGTGCGCGTGCGAGCAGGGGACCGCTTGGCGTGATGTTGCGGCAGTCACTCGCTGTCCTGTGGGCAGCGGCGTGCTGGCGGGCGGGGGAGGGACGTGAGGCGTGGCGCTGCTTCCTGTCGGAGGATTCGAACCGGATTGGACATAAGCGGCCCTGTCCCACCGTCCGGTCGAATCCCAACGCCAGCGTTGCCCGCCCAGCAGAGCGGACGCGCTGGTGCCGGGGCCCCACCCCGTGCTGAAGCGCAGGTTTGGGCTAGCCGCGGGCTTCAGCTGGCCGCGGGCGCCTCAGCC